CCCCAAAACCCCAAAACCCCAAAACCCCATCAGGAAAATGTTAAAGATATTTTTGTAAATTTTAAAAGAAATTAATAAAAATCGAAGATAAAATAAAGATTTGTCAATAATAAACTCATTTATGCTAAATTTTCCAAAAACAATGCTCTGGAGAATTAGATTTGCACATTTGAGTTAATAGTAACAATTTCTTAAGATAGAGCAATTGATGAATAGATAGTTTCTCACATTTCCATGCCAGATTTCAACTTATAGAAGTATGAATTAGGATTATTTGAGAGTTCCTCGTAGGTTCCTTGTTCTGCAACTTTACCCTTGTGTATCACAAAGAGCCATTCACAGTTTCTGATTGTACTGAGTCTGTGCGCAATAACAACACTAGTTCTACCTTCCATAGCTCTATCAAGAGCTTATTGGACAAGTTCTTATGATTATTCATCTAAAGCAGAAGTAGCTTCATCAAGGATAAGAATCTTTGGATCCTTAATTAGTGCTCTAGCGATAGCAACTCTTTGCTTTTGTCCACCAGAAAGCAGTGCTCCCTTTAGTCCACATATCTTATTGAAGCCCTCATGCAATTAGAAGTCTGAATCATTAGTATTTGACTGATGAAGAGACTTAATTCTGTAATTGTTTTATTCCTTAAGGCGATCGAAACTAGCTTTTATAAAGTTCTAGAGAATAAACTCAGTATCTTCTGGCTTTTCTTGTAAAACAACTTACTCCAAATAGTCCTTAATGGTTTTAAGATCAAATTTAGTCTTGAAATTTTTGAGTGCATTCTTAACAGGGTTCTTGTATATGTCCTTCACATCTGCTACCTTAGCACTGTTAAGGTATTCTTCTATTTTATCAGCTTCAAAAGACCATTCAAATCTCAGAACAATATCATCCCATTTAATACCCTTTAGCTTGCTACTTTCTTGCATAACATTGATGAATCTATCGAGGTTTGTGTTAACCATTACTCTCAAATCAGCATCAGCTTTCTTAAGAACTTCATCTATTAACAGCAATTCATCAATATTAAAGACCTTCTCATCAAAGTATTTCTTGGAAAGAATTTAGAAATTAGGATAGTCTTTCATAACTTTCTCATCATTGATATATTCTTTAAAGCCTTTTTCAATAGCTTCCTTTACATCTTCTTTTGATAAGTCTTCAATGTTTGACTCTATAAATTGCAATGCATTTGCCATCTCAGCAACTTCTCTTACTCTTTAGTCAGATGCTTTTTCATTACCATAGCGGATGTTATCCTTAATTGACATGTTAAATAAAAGTGGTTCTTGCATAACTATTCCTATTTGCTGTCTTAGTGCTTTAATATCATAATCTCTGATATCTATTCCATCAATCATGAGTGATCCACCGTTAACATCGTACATTCTCAGAAGAAGATTTGCAATAGTGCTCTTTCCGCATCCAGAATGCCCAACTAAAGCGATCTTTTTGGTAGATGGGATTTTCATGTTCATCTTTTTGAGGACTTTTTGGGTTCTTGATGGATACTTGAATTCAACGTCTAACAGTTCAATTTCGCCAGATTTGATTAATTTCTCACCTTTGCCTGTTCTAGTATCAATCTTAGATTCCTCTTCAATAATGTCAAAGACTTTACCTGCAGCTACTCTTGCCTTGCTTACTGATGGGGCTTATGATATAGCAATACCACTACCAAGAGCAGCAACGAATAGAATATATACTCCAATATAAGTATCATCTGATCTATCTTTGTAATCGTAGATAAAGATTGACGAAATGTAGAATATGAAAGCCAAGAAGAGAAATCTAATGCATTGAGAATATCCATAAAAGAATCCAGCAATGTGTGCATTTCTTACTCCTATAGAGTTAGGTTCTTCTAAAAGTTTATCATATTTTGTCATGACAAAATCAATATTTTTTTGTCCGAAACTGATGACTGTTCTATAGTTCATAATCATATCTGACAAAAGGGCATTTGCTCTTTGATAAGGATCTTAATAACCTTTTTCCTTGAGTCCACCTTGCTATTTATTCTTACTCCATTAAAGTCTAGACATGACGATTCCACCAAGAATAACAAATGGGCAAGTAGCTAATGTCACTAATGCCATTTTCCATGTGAATACAAAGGCTAGTATACATCCAACTATAAGACAGAGGGAAGCTTCAAGAATATTGGCAATAGTTTCTGTAGTCAATCCATTCAATAAAGTAATATCTTATGAAAGAACATTACTCAATATACCTGGTGCTCTATCCTTGTTATCAAACCAACCTAAATGCTTGTGTAAGATTGATTCAAATAGCTTAGTTCTAATTGTAAATGTTAAGTTCTCTCCTAGGAAGGCATAGGTAATCTTGTTAAGGTAACCAAAGAAAGCTATTGCAAATGCAAGTAAGATAAACAAACCACACCATAGATTTCTATCTTGAGTAAAAGTTGGAAGTTGAGGCACTAACATAATGAACAGAATTTTTGAGAACACCAGACCGTAGATTGGGAAGCCGAATGAGTTGATTATTGTTAGAACATAGGTAATGTAGGCAAGCCATTTAGGACTGTAAAATGCCATAATTTTAAGCATTCCAACTGGTTTAGGTTCTCTTACATCTTAATCATTTTCAGCTAATTCTGGATCTTAATTTCCATCACTCTTATCTGTCATCATTCTAGGTACACTTTTGTCTTTTAACACTCTTTTGCTTACTTTGTCAGTTGGTGATTTATTTGGGCTATCAGGATCATCTTTTTGATGAGCATAATTTTGTTCTTGTAGCCTATTCATTATAACATCATATTCAGCTGTGCCTTTTGTAGCTGGTACTACACTGTTTTTAGCTTCTAAGTAAAGGAGATTTTAAGCAGTCATTATAGTTTAAAGTCTATGTGCTATCATGATAATAGTCAGCCTTGAATCTTTGTGTGAAATTTCATCAATAGCATCCTAAACTTCTTTTTCACTCTTTGGGTCAAGGGCACTGGTAGCCTCATCCAATATGAGAATTTGTGGGTTTTTAATAAGTGCTCTAGCAATTGCAATTCTTTGTTTTTGACCACCTGATAGATTCATTACACTTGATGAACCCACATATGAGTCTAGTTTATTTTCCATATCGTAAACAAAAGTTGCATTTGCTAGCTTTAGACATCTTTCAATATCCTCTTCTTTAGCATCTTTGTTACCGAAGAGCAAATTATCTCTGATAGTTCCCAAGATTAAAACTGGTTCTTGAGAGACATATCCTATTGATTCTCTTAGAATTCTTAATTTAATGTCCTTTAGGTTAACATTGTCAAAGTATATATTTCCTTCTTTAGGGTCATAGAATCTTTCTATCATTTGAATGATAGTGCTTTTTCCAGAACCAGAGGGTCCTACTATAGCTGTAGTCTGACCTGCTTTGATCTCAAATGAAGCACCTTCTAAAACATTCTTAATATTTTCTTAGGCAGTTGGATATTTGAATGTAACCTTTTCGAATCTTATTTTCTCCTTTACCTCAAATTCCTTAATAGCCACGTCATTATCCCAAATCAGAGGTGTCCTATCAATCACTTCAAACACCATCCTTCCAACGACTTTAGCTCTTATCAAAGCCTAAACATTTGGGTTGAGACCAAATAGCATTGTCATACCAGTCATAAGACTTACTAGTACTGATAATAATTCACCAACTGAATACTGATGTCCTGTATTAGGGTTTACCATCTTATGGTCAATATAAATTGTAGCAATCCAGAATGAGAAGCAATAAAATCCAAAGATTGAAAGTCTGAAAAATCCGATAAATCCAGCAAGCCAATACTCACTTGAATGTGCTATTTGCCTAGTCTCATCAGCTAATTGCTGAAATTTTTTCAGTTCTCTTTCCTCTTGAGCAAATGACATAATTAATCTAATGGCGCCGAAGCTTTCTTCAACGACACCGCCCATCTTTTTAGACACCATTACTTTTCTAATTGCAGCTTTCTTAACTTGAGCTCCAAAAAGTGTGATGATAACCATAATGAAAGGGAAATATGCAAAGCAGATTGCTGCAAAATCAGCACCTCTATAAAACGCTATGCCGATACCGGAAATCAAAGTAAATGTTGTGAAAATAATACCGGAAAACTTCTCTCCAATAGCATCTTGAATGATTGAAAAGTTTTCTCCAATCTATGATGGTAATTACTCCACATTTTGCTTCTCGAAGAAGGCAACCTCTTGTTTAAGTATGGAATGTAGGAATTTACTTCTGAGATCAAATGAGATATTTTCTGCCAGATGTTGCCAGAAAGAATAGAAGACGTAGCCAAATAACCATGTGCCTAGTCCTACTAAGGAGATATAACCAGCAAGTATAGACATTTAGTCCTTGATTTGTTCTGCAGTGTTGTCTGGATCAAAAGTATTAGTAACTTCTCCCATCACTATTGCAAGTGAAGGTAAGAGTAAACCTGTAATAACTGCTGAGATAGTTCCGATAACCATGAGAACTTTGTCCCAACCATGCACAAATTTGAAGAATTGCTTTAATTCTATCATCTCTATATGTGGTGGAGGAGGTGTCTTGTTTTTATTTTGATGATTTACAGGAGTTGTCATTGAGCGAACTTTTTGCAAGTTTTTATTTTATTTAATTAACGTGGCTTTAATTATCTGATATAAAGGTTTGACCACAAATCATGGCAAATATTTCTATCAGAATTTTATTTAAATTAAATCTTTATTTATCTTTTACTCAGATTGTTGTCGATTATTCATCAAGGGGTTTTGGGGTTTTGGGGTTTTGGGG